AACATGTGTAAACATGTGCAAAATTTAATAGGCTGTGCAAGGAAGTCCTGTGGTTTTCTCATCAAGTTCCTTACAAAGCAATTATGATGAAAGTTCATTACTAAGCTTGTAGAGACATTAGGTGTTTTGGAAGCAGGAGACTTGAAAAATGAGCAACGCCCTCGCCGGTAATCAAACCACGGACCTCTGGAATACACGCCCAGCGTGCAGACCACCACACTACGAAGGCATGCTAAGAAGGCAGGAGAAATGTCTCATGATACCTTTATATTAATAGCTGTTCTTATACACAGAGATTCAAAAGTCGTGTCTATCGAATTTTCAGAAACTGCAGAAATTTCAGAGACATTAATGGCAAATTGTTACAAGGCCGTCCTGATCGGCATAGTGTTTAGAGATGTATTGTTGGGTCTAAAGCTTCGTACCCCGGAGAAAGCAAGGTTGTTTTGTTTGCAAGAGTTAAATAGCCTAAACTCAAGGGGAGCCGAAAGTTCAATCTAGAAGTTGGCTGTAGGGGAAGAGTTGTGTGAGACCTTAAGACAGTTCCCCGTGGCTTTCTGTGTGGCGAAGCTTACTAATTAGCACTGCGGGAATACACCCATGCTTCAGATGGTGAATAACTTGTTGAATTAGTTTAGATCCAAGTATTGTATCCCTTCAAATTTCAGTAGTGTCCAAGTACTGTATCGCTTGAAATTTCAGTACTGTCCAATTACTGTATCCCTTGAATTTCAGTAGTGTTCAAGTACGGTATTGCTTGAAATTTCAGCAACAGTTTAGGGTGTAAGCTTTGGAAATCGTTTCTTACGAGCAAGATTGAGAAGAGTTTTCCGAAAAACAGAGAAATTTTATGACACGTATTTGATTACGATGCCATCTTCTTCGCCATTTAAACACAATTTAGTGGATATACTCTTACTATTACAAATAACATATCACTTGAAATTTCCTTCGAAGATTAGGCTGATAGCCTTCAATTAAGTCAGTCTACAGATAATTTCAAAGTATGATATTCTTAATGCGCTGAATGCACAGAGAATCCATGATAGCTTGGTAAAAATCTTTCCTTTTAAAAGAAACACTTAACAGTTTCGGAACTTTTCACAAAAGTACTGGTACAGCTCTCCTCAGTATGACAAAGCACGATCAATAGTTGCCACTTCAAAATACTACGAGCGTTAAATAGAAGACAATACACAAAGCCCCACTGCGTCAGTTCGCATAGTGATATTTGAGTGCTCTCAAACTCTGAGCTAAACTCCGAACTCATATCTAAACTAACTCAATAAGTTCTCTTTCCAGTCTTACCTTTACTTTCTCAAAATTGCTGGCAGACATGCACTAGTACAGTTAAATAGGAAACGAATCAAAATGTCACCAAATGGTAGCCAAACCTGGCGACTTATGGAGATTTCTCGCCAAATTTTGAGATTAATTTTTGTCGGCCAATAACGTCGCTAGCTTGTAGGGAGATAGTCATTTACATTAATATTAAATAGACCTGCTCCTGTAGTTCAGCTTTGGTTTTCAATGTCTTTCATGTTACATTAAACAATTTACATATAAATTCACTAAACTTATTTACATATATACAAAATTCGTAATAACAGGTTGAAAACTTTCTATTCAAAAATTAAAATATAATTCCTTGTTTTAACCTTTAGAGATTTTTAGAATAATGGTGCAGATTTTCTTAAACTGTATTTCATATTTTCCGTAGAATTTTATCAGTTGATTCTACACACACTACTATGCTCCCGATTCTCTAATAAACTGAATAAGCGAAAGCCTGAAACTCGCTACGGTATGAATTACATGGGAATGGAAATGAGAGAAATAAAAAGTAGGATCAATCCATTTTTAAAGTTCTATTCAGGCAAAACACGTTAACCATTATACATATAATTCACATGAACAGTACTTTAAACTAAATGCAATCTTATCGAAGCAGTAAAAACTCGCCTTTGCTTTAACTAAAACGTAATAATAAACTGAAATGCAATCCGTGCTGAACAATGAGCACTCAATGTTGCTCTCAAATGGGGAAGAGGGAATCTTTCGTGCTTGCACGATGCGGGAGAAAAGCAGGGAATATGAGAACCCCTTTGATCCTGATCACCTTTGACTGCGTCCACGGCATACACATTCGCCTTTGCTAATGTAAGATGCTGTAATTTTACGGTTGAGCATTACTTCGCAAAGCATTATCACAATTATATTTTGGAACCGCTTAAAGAGATTTTACCAAATGTTATTGAACCTAACAGAGCAGTGATTTTCCTTTCGATAACCTGATATCGAAAAACTGGAACCTTTGACCACAACAAACTAACCCGTCTCATCAGAATTCAAACAAAATGTGCGAAGTCGGGAATGAAATATTGCAGCCGCCAAACGAAAGTGTGGGAAAAATGGCATAATGATGAAATTCAGGTGCTATGCTCAATCATAAAAATTCTGTTTGGAGAAATTTCTGTCATATACTTAGTAAACGGTTTTTTAAATTAAAGACAAATCAAATTTCAGCTGTTACTTATAACAATATAGATGTCTCATTCATTAAAACAATTTGTTATTAATATCCATTTTGGAATTAAAAATTCCAGTTCCAATATTTTCCGGTTTTTTTTTTTTTTTTTTTTTTTTTTTTTTTTTTTTTTTTTTTCATGTTATCGAGTTTACGACCACCTCGTATATTGAATATCACACATCATATTACATATAGCGGGAGTATATTTCGTGATACACTACTCTGTGTATCACGAAAACTACTCAAAAACACGACATGCATGTTTCTCTTTTTTTCTGGTTACATTAATGTTCCGAAACTTAGTAACGCTTTAGTATTTTATAAACGAGTATTTAGACAACTGAAATAAAAGTTTATTTCATAAAAAAAAAAACCATTATTTATTTATTTATTTTTTATTTTTGGCGCAGCAGGTGCTGTTAGGGTCAAACGTCATTCTTTTTATCCTATCACTACTCCAGTCTCACCACGAGACTTATTCTTAAAGAATTAATTATTCTTAAAGAATAATCGAATGTAAAAGGTGTATGGCAATACAAATAAAATGATGTTGCCACTTAGTGTTATCGCCATATATTATTTTAATAATATAATAGAAAAATGCATAGCAACACAGATAAACGGAAAATTCCACCGAATCGTATAGCCATGTATTATTTTTAAAGAAATAATATAGAGAATACAAAAAAACTTGTTGGTGGACACCACGTCTTCCTTCTACGGCCTATTAAAGTAAAGACATTTTTTACTGCACTTCACATAAACTTAAATTATTCTAACTTAATTTGTAGAGACATTAGATATTTTGTGGAAGCAGGATTCATGAAAAATGTGCAACGCCTTCGCCGGGAATCGAACCGCGGACTTCTAGAATACGCGCCCAGCGTGCAAACCACTACACCACGAAGGCACACTAAGAAGGCAGGAGAAATACCTTATAAATGTAGGTATATATATATTTGTTGAATACAGCCGATGTACACACGTACAGAAATCAAGCAAAAAATCGTCTAAATAGATTCAGGATCTGTCAAAATAGATATTTCTGCTGAAATAAGATATCCGAAATTTTTCCATAGTACAACACTTTCTTTTCTTCGTGCAGAGAAGTAACAATGAATGGCAAGACAAATAAAAGGAAGTTGCCATCCAGTGTTATTGACACATGTTATTTGTAAAGAAATAATGTAGCGAATATAGAAAAATGTATAGTAACTCAAATCAACAGATGTTCCACCAAACCTTATCGTCTTACATATTATTTTTAAAGAATTGATGTACCGAATGTAAAAAAGATGGGGCAACACAAATAAAAAGATGTTGTCACCCAATGTTATCGCCAATATATTATTTAAAGAAATAATACAGCAAATATAAAAATGTATGGCAGGGCAAGTTAAAGATGTTGATACGCAATGTTCTGGCGGTATATTACTTTTAAAGAAATAATACAGCGAATACAAACAAAATGTAGGACAACACAAATAAAAAGATATTGCCACTCAGTGTTATCACCATCTATTATTTTTAAAGAAATAATGTAGCAAATATAGAAAAATGTATAGGAACACAAATCAAAGGATGTTGCTACCGAATCTTATCGCCATGTATTATTTTTAAAGAAATAATGCAGAGAATATAAAACAATATGGCAATACAAACAAAAGGATGTTGCCACCCAGTGTTATCGCCATGTTTTATTTTTTAAATATAATATAGCGAATAAGGAATAATATATGACAACACAAATAAAATTATGTTGCCACCTAATGTTAAATGTATGAATTATTTTTAAAGAAATAATATGACAAATATAAAAAATGTAGGGAAACGCAAACAAATGGATGTTGCCTCCGAATATTATCTCTATGTATAATTTTTAAACAACTAATGTAGCGAATATAAAAAAGTGAGGTTCACTTAACACTCCATCGGGATTTCTGAAGTTAGGCTGCTTTTAAAAATTTTGTGATTTGCTGTTGAATTTTATGCGGCGTAAGGGAAGAAAGAGAAGTTTAATAATAAAGTTAAAAATGACAGAAAACTTTGTGTCAGCAGAAAGGAGTCCAAGAGCCGATAGATTAACCGTGAGCTCACAGAGAGGATGAAAAACTTTCACGAACCCTCCGGTAAGATATTAAAATCTAAATCCTCTCATTTTCTTTTCTTTATTTATTTTAGATATAGCATGATTAATTCTTAACCTTCTTCATCTGAGCGCAGTTGATCGGGATTTGAATGCACTCTTAATACAGTATCAATATAAGTCAGTTGGAATTTACCGCATTAGAAGACGGTTACAGTTAGTAAATAATGTGCACAATTAACAACACATTTACAGCGCTTTATCGGCGACCATAAACGCGTCGAGCACGCTCAGAGGTATGGGAATTTCGAAGGCGAACGGTCGATGGAGAGGGAAGGGATACTGCGCATGCGTTTGGAAGGAGGGGGGGTACGGGGGACTCACCACGTTGATAAGCTGGATGAAGGAGAGTCCGAACTCGACGACCACCGTCTGGTTCATCATCTCGACGGGACGGATGAGCTTGTTATAGTCCCGAAACAAATCCCGCACCAGACGTTCTTCGTCCTCCGAACAACGCACTGTAAAAAACAAGATAAGGGTGAATTTCATGATTAATTTAAAAGATAAAAATAGAAAGAAAGGGGTTAATGATATAAAATGATTAACATAATACAGGGTATCCATAATTTATTCACTGGATAAATATACGTTTTAAACAATACAAAATGAGAGATAGGAAAAAAAGACGGGACTGAATTTTGTTTAGCACTTCAAAGAATTTTGTATTAATACACTTCAACATGGATACCATTAGTTTCTCGGAGAATATAAATATATCTCGATTTCCCTCCATAGGTTATTAAGCCTTTGCGTAGTTTCTGCGGTGATTTGAATCTTTATTCTTGGGTGCTGCGAATCTCTGCAGAATACACTCAGTTCTTCGAATATCCCCAGACGAGTGGTGTGATATCCGAAGAACATGGTGGCTATGAAACTGGTCCATCTCTGCAAAACTAACGATCTGGAAATGTTTCATTAAAGAATAAGTGTACATGTGTAGCCAAATGACAGGGAGCTCCATCTTGTTAGAAAAACACGTTTGGCTACATTTCTTCAAATTGCAGTACCAAAATGCCTCTCAGCATATTAAGGTAATCATCGGAATTAACTGATGACTCTGAGAAAAGAAAGGACCAGTCACTTTGGTATATGTTAATGCGCATCAAACGTCAACTTAAGAGCTTCTTTTCTCAATCTCCTTTTCAAAATGCGACTTTTCTGACTCCCAAACCCTGAAGTTTTGTCCATTAACATCTCCCCAAACATGAAATATTGCTTCATCACTGAATACAACTTTCTGGAGAAACTGATCGTCATTACTGGTACGGTCAAGAATGTCTACAGAAAATTCTTCACTGATGAATCGATCATTAGGTTTGATTTGTTAACAAATCTGCAATTTATACGCAGTTAGTTTCAACCACCGTTCACGAACAATTTTAGGAATATTCGACATAGGAATTCCTGTGTATAGGCTAGATTTAGAGGCTAACACTACGAATAGATTCACCGCAAAAACACATCTAGAATGGCGGGAACATTCATCACTGACGTTCCCGCCATTATAGATGTGTTTTTCATCACTGACGCTTGGCCTGTTTGTACTTCCTTTATGCAAAACGTAACCGGTCTCTCGAAAGTATTTTAATCATCTTTTAACTGTTGTTCCGCTGGTGAAGGTTTATTAAATTCTTGTCGGGATAGCCTCTAAACTGTTTTCTAAAATTTCGTTTCCCATGATCAGAGAACGCGCGTTGCTTTTTTATGCATGACACCATTTTGAATCTAAACAAAGCGATGCCATTCTAAAATTCTTAAATTAAAAATAAGATAAAGGAGTGAGAAGTAAGATAAAAAAAATAAATAAAATTTTCTACCTTAAAGATAAGTTAACCATTAAAAGACGATAAAATAGTATAGTGTCAAAATAAGATAAAGAATAAGCTAAAAGAGCAAGATAACGGGTAGGATAAAGGGTAAGCATCAAAATAACGTTTATAAGATAAAAAACAAACAAAACTTCTTCTTTAATTTATAATAACTCCTGAAATGATCAAGTCTCCTTTAAAATGTCAAAATATTGAAAACATATAACATATTTTAAAGCACAATACTGTTGTAAATTTCTGTAAATATTCCAAGAACGTTTCAGTCAGAACTGAGAAACTGGCAAATACCACGGCTAAACAATTCTTTTTAGTGCATCATATGGGTAGAGCTGTCTGCAGGCTGTGATGGTGCTTGTGTGACCATCTTTTGCGGTGTTTGCATTGTTTGCTAGGACGCAATGGGGAGAGAGGAGCTCCCTGATATTTTATTTTTAAATAACAATTTATAGTTTGCAATTTAATAGTATTTTATGCGCTTAATTTCATTTCTTTTAATTTCAGTAAGTCCCAGTCAGGACCAATGGGTCGCAATGGCCTTGCATATGAGGGTCAACCAATGAAATATAAATTGTACAAGTAAATTTCAAGGAATATGAAACAAAGAAAATGCATCTTTAATTAATAAGCCATTTTTATAAATTTTTGTCTATGTTCAAATTTTTATTCTTATCACAAACACGTATTTTTATTAATTACTATGTTGTTATTAATGTAACTAGCTGAACTACTCGGCATTGTCCGGCCATTACGTACAGTACAGAGGTTTCATTTAGGAGGACGGAGGTACTTTTTTCGAAATCTCGTTTTCGAAAAGCTGATAGAGAACGCATTTAAATTCTGCTCGAAAAGTTCTGGGAAGCTCTACCTTTTAGAACAAAGTGATAACAAGCCCGGTGCGATCTATTAAAAATTTATATTTGTTTTGTTATCACTTACGTCTTTTTTCCAGAAAATTACCATTCATGTTGGCCAAATTTCTTCACTATTTTCGAAATATTCACAAAAAAACTGAAAGAGAAAGAACTTAAATTTTGCTTAAAGCTTTTACACTCTTCTTATGAGAAATCGAACACGTCGCCTGTAAATCTTTTAATAAGAAATAACAGAAAAAACGCAGCAAAGGCAATGTGAACTTGTGAACTTAAGATGGGCGATATGATTTCAAAGTTTAATCTATATAGCAATATTAATATTTATTTCTTGTAAAAAACAGTTTTGTTCCAAGCTTAGAATGTATGACCTTACACCGAGAGAGGGAACGCGACAAAGGGAACGTGAACTTAAGATTGGTGATGTACAAACAAGATGGGTGTTGTGCGTGCACCGTTCTTAATATAAACTCCCGAGTGTGAATTGTGTGGGTTGGTTTTTTTTATTATTATTTATTATTTTTTAATGAGACGTAAAATGTGGAGTATTCGTTTGCGATTATTTCATCTAAATTAGGTTCCAGTTCACTCCTAGCAATCGTGAATACCGAAAGTAAATTTTCTAATTCTTAATGATCATCAAGTAGTTTATATGTATGTTATTTTATTTTTAAACCAAATTTTAGAGGTTAAATGTTCTTTCCGTAAGTTCTTCCTACTTATTACTCTTTTATCTCAACTATAAACATATGGCATTGTCTTATTTCTAAATTAAAGCTGCTAGAAATGATACAACTTTATTCTTCGGTGCATGCTTTCTGGTATAGCTAGTATTTTAAATTTTCGTTGATAGCTACAGTCATGCGTATATATGCGCATATATACTACAGCAACAGATGCGCAGTCGTACTGCTGATTTTATTAGTTTGCAGATAAAATCGAAATGGAAAGAAATGAAAATATCGTTGCGCTAGGTTTCATAATGAGCCAGATTAAACTACGCGTAGCAAGTGGCACATTTTTAGAGCTGACACTTTTGGCTTGAAACACTAATTTATAGGAGTCAACCAAATGAATCGTCAAGGCAAATGAAGAATAATTTGATTGTGAATTGCTATGTGGAATTAAATTGAGAAGAAAATGACTGAAAAACAAACGTGAGAATAAAGTTTTTAAAAAGCACTCGTAGTATATTTGTTAAGAACGAACAAAAGGAATTTAGTGAAGGAAGTTTCGTAATTAAAACTCGAGACACGTGAAGTTCATTTGTCTTACTTTGGTTGGACAAAAACATATTTGAATAAGAATATTTTTTTCATTTTTCCAAATTCTTTTTAAACGAAAGTACATATGTACAAATGTTTGGGAGGGGGTGAAGATTTCTGTAAGAGTTAATATAAACAAACACTGAGCATGGAATGCTCAAGTGCACTCAGGGCCGTAATTAACGAATTAGTGTCACTGAAATGGCAATATCATTGGAATTGAATGCAGTCATTGTTCTATATGTTATTTCCATGTACCCTAAAGTTCTGCGAATGAATAAAGTTATATGAGCACCTTTGTTATGATTAAAACTATTATACCAGTTAAAAAAAATCTGTTTTCTGCATTAATTAAAAACTATTTTTATGTACACTTTATTACATGCTTTTCAAATCCTCCCCGAAAGTAAAGAAGAAACAATCCTTATGCTTTTCAAATTAACATTAAATAAGAAATCTAAAAAGATTCTAATTTTAAAGTCGCACCGAAAGGTTTGCAAACATTCTGGTGCACATCTCTTAATATATATATATATATATATATATATATTATTTTTTGTGTATTAAGAGATAAAAATATATCACAATTAGCATGAAAGCCCTACAAGTACTTAAGTAAAATATGCAAAAATGTTCGCTAAATTTAATAAAACGTAATAAAATTGATAAATATTTAAAATCTATAAAATTGTTGAATTTAGTCTTTTTTTAGGATCATCCGAAGAATTTTCAATAAATCCACATTTCTGAATTAAATCTAGGTAACTGTGAATGTTTGAAAAATTCAAAACAAGAAAAAAGAAAATGTTAGTTACAAACATTTAATTAAAATAATTAAAGTGCTTTAAAAGTGTAACAAACTTTAAAAAAAACTAAATGTTTATGACTCAATTAATCACCATGATATAATGTGCTTCAACATGAGCCTCAAATAAATGTTTGAAAAATAAACATTAAAACTACTCCAGTAAGAAATCACAAAAAATATTGTATAAGTAAAAACGATATAATGTTTTCCACGGGTTCGAGGGTTTGGGGTTATTGACAACAACACTTGATGAATAATCAAAACACTATTTGTCCGTTAGTATTATACAGGAGAGTTTTAAATACACGTTTACAGTCGTCGAAAAGATTTTCATTACACTACACGCGCTGAAACAATCTGTAACACAGAGCTTTCGCGCTACAACGGTGAAGGCAGCTTCACGGCAAAGCACTACGAACGCTGCCCCCCCCCAAAAAAATGGGGCAGTTCTATATCTTTCGTTCTACTGGGCCGATTGACGAAATTCAAATTGCGTTTTTCATGTATCGAAAACACGACTTAGAGTATGTATTAGATTTATATATAGCATTGTTCTAAAATAGGTATTTTGACACAAAATCGGACATTTTCTGAAATGACATGCCAATTTATTTCCATACTTCGATTCTACGTCTCTAATTATGCCAGACTGCCATGTTTTGCAAAACTCGCACGAGTAGTTTTTAA